GTTTCAACCCTAAGTTCAGGTAGTACCACCCCGTTTCAACCCTAAGTTCAAGTAGTACCACCCCGTTTCAACCCTAAATTCATGCAGTACCACCCTAAATTCAGGCAGTACCACCCTGTTTCAACCCTAAGTTCAGGTAGTACCACCCCGTTTCAACCCTAAGTTCAGGTAGTACCACCCCGTTTCAACCCTAAGTTCAAGTAGTACCACTCCGTTTCAACCCTAAGTTCAGGTAGTACCACCCCGTTTCAACCCTAAGTTCAGGTAGTAACTAGGGCTGTTGTGGTGACCATATTACCACCAAACCGGCAGTCATGAGTCATTACTGCAATAAAATTCCACGTTACAATAGAGTCACGGTAATCTCATTTTATGCACTCTGGACATGCGTTGGTAGTACTCAATTTGCTAACGACCATCATGTCGCTAATGGCCTGGTACTCAGGGCTCGAATGTCCCTATAACCACTCTGATGCAAATGCATTCGGAAATCACATCAAATATCAAAACAATATATCGTTTTTTTTTTTTTACTTCACTTTGATTTAAAGAAAGAAGTTCAACAACAAGTTCAAACTGAAAACATGGTCGTTGTGGATGTATTACGTTGTTATTGATTACTGTGTAGTGTATGAAGAATTATGACTTTGCTAATGTTTTCAAGTGGAACCTGAGAGGATGTTTATTCAGTTGTAGAGGGAGCCGTTTTAGAGGAACACCATAGAACAGAGGGAGTCTGTTGTGTGGAGATAGGTGATTGGTCTGTAGGGGAACACCCATATCAGATTACATAGGATATATATCACAGTGAGGACAGAGGAGAAGCAGAATAATCATATTAGAGATGGGGCGATTATTCTCCGGGTATCTGCAGGTATCTGTAAATCGACGCTGTAACCCTTTGTTATGAATAAACCTTATGATAAAAATACAGCGTCAGCGGGTCCTCCTTGGTCATCACAGCATAATTAGCAACGTTAACTCGACACTACAACTGCATTGTTGGGTTTTGAGTTTGCAAGAAAGGCATTTCACTGTTCTTGTGCATGTGACATTAAAACTTGTTTCAAAGCCAAACAACGAAATGGACAGTCTTTCTAAGGTGATAATTAATTCAAAACACCCATACAAATATTAGATCTTATGCATATACTGTATATGAGCCCAAGTCCGAAAAAAATTATGAATGAAAATGATTATGCCTTTATACAATACATAGCCTACCGCATATTATGCATGGCAGAAAAACATCTGTTTTTTAAAAACTGATTTAAGAAGTCTTTGGTACATAATTGGTCAAGCCTATACCCCAAAATTAAACACATTATAGTAATGCCTTTGAGTGTGGATTGTATTATCATGCATACTGTTTGGACTGGTTACCTTATGCTACGCTCCAAACTTTCTATACATGAGTCTGGGAGAGAACATATAGACCTAGGCGATGCTGCTTGTTCATTGATTGTGCAGCGCATTTAAGATAGTGAATTTGTATTTGAATAGCCTAGTAATAGGACATTCTTAGATTCTTTCATAATGAATAGGCTGACACATGACCTTTTTAGCTACAGAATGTCTCAACACCGTGCCGTTTCCATATCCTCATTACTTTTTACAGAGAGAGGGGGTGTCAACAGTTTAATGAAATATGTTTATTGTGAAAACATGTTACTATGGATGTTCCCGAACAGATTTCACTTGGTTTCCCAAATTGAACACTGGGTAGCTGCATGAACAGGGTTGGAGAGCCCCATGGCATACAGAGTTTGGGTGGAATATCACCTGTCGCCCAGCAGTGGCTGCAGGCTCCTCATAACTTTGGTTGATGCCTAGCGTGAAATATTCAAAGTAGCCTACCCGGTGGGAAAGGGACCTCCATTCGCTATTTGAGTGCATATGGATGACACTTTTTCCCCTAGCCCCTGTTCCTTCCCCTTTGATAATGGGCCATTCTAAATCGAAACAAATTTAACATATTACTAAAGATAAGATTCAATTGAGAACAGTCTGATGGGTGAAAATATGATCACTTGAAGAGAGAACTGTGTGCAGCCTGAGGCATGGAACAGAGTACAAGCTTTTGTGGCGACTTTCTCAAATCATCAATAGCCAATAGTCGCATCATGCAGCCCACATGCTTTGATTTCTAAGGTTTGTATCATTCACTCCTAAAGTTTCCAAATTATTCTAAATGTAGCATGTTTCAAATGATCACTTTTACGCTCAACATATGCGCACTCGCGCCGGAATGGGAAAAATATCCTTTCTATTGTATTCAGCTAAGTTCAATTATATTCTTCTTACTGTAAAATCATATAATATAAAATAATGGCACAGGACTTAAGCATATCTGGTCTGCTAAATTAACAAGCCTACAGCATGGAGCATAGCCAGATAACATACAGTAGGCCAACTCATATTCTGTTCTTCTGAAATAAATTTTCTTCATATGTTTCTTTGGACCTGACAATTTTTTTTAATGGAGTTATTGTGATGGTGTATATTAAATTGATTTGACTTGTTCGAAAGGTGCGCATTAGCAGATTGTATGCGTCTTGTATGTGTGGAGGCCTGGCAATGCTAAACGTGTCTGTTACTTCCAAAGTCATGGGCATTAACATGGAGTTGGTCTCCCCTTTGCTGCTATAACAGCCTCCACTCTTCTGGGAAGGCTTTCAACTAGATATTGGAACATTTCTGCGGGGACTTGCTTCCATTCAGCCACAAGAGCATTAGTGAGGTCAGGCACTGATGTTGGGCAATTAGGCATGGCTCTCAGTCAGCGTTCCAATTCACCCCAAAGGTGTTTGATGGGGTTGAGGTCAGGGCTCTGTGCAGGCCAGTCAAGTTCTTCCACACCGATCTCAATAAACCATTTCTGTATGGACCTCGCTTTGTGCACGGGGGCATTGTCATGCTGAAACAGGAAAGGGCCTTCCCCAAACTGTTGCCACAAAGTTGGAAGCACAGAATCATCTAGAATGACATTGTATGCTGATGACATTGTATGCTGTAGCGTTAAGATTTCCCTTCACTGGAACTAAGGGGCCTAGCCCGAATCATGAATAGCCCCAGACCATTATTCCTCCTCCTCCAAACTTTAATAATAATAATAAATAATATGCCATTTAGCAGACGCTTTTATCCAAAGCGACTTACAGTCATGCGTGCATACATTTTTACATATGGGTGGTCCCAGGGATCGAACCCACTACGCTGGCGTTACAAGCGCCATGCTCTACCAATTGAGCTACAGAGGACCACAGCACTATGCATTCGTACAGGTAGCGTTCTCCTGGCATCCGCCAAACCCAGATTCGTCCGTTGTACTGCCAGATGGATAAGGGTGGTTCATCACTCCAGAGAACGAGTTTCCACTGCTCTAGAGTCCAATGGTGGCGAGCTTTGCACCACTCCAGCCGATGCTTGGCATTGCGCATGGTGATCTTAGGCTTGTGTGTGGTTGCTTGGCCATGGAAACCCATTTCATGAAGCTCCCGACGAACAGTTATTGTGCTGACGTTGCTTCCAGAGGCAGTTTGGAACTCAGTAGTGAGTGTTGCAACAGAGGACAGACGATTTTTATGTGCTTCAGCACTCGGCGGTCCCGTTCTGTGAGCTTGTGGCCTACCACTTCGCGGCTGAGCCGTTGAAGCTCCTAGACGTTTCCACTTCAAAATAAAAGCACTTACAGTTGACTGTGGCAGCTCTAGCAGGGCAGAAATGTGACAAACTGACATGTTGGAAAGGTGGCATCCTATGACGGTACCACGTTGAAAATCACAGAGCTCTCCAGTAAGGCCATTCTACTGCCAATGTTTTTATACACTTGTTTGCAACGGGCGTGGCTGAAATAGCCGAATCCACTAATTTGAAGGTGTCCACATACTTTTGTATATATAGTGTATGTTGACCTATTCAATTATATTCAAAGGTAGTCCCCAAGAGGGTGTTGGCCTGACAATGGTGTGCCCTTTGAAACCCTATAGATAGATAATGACGCTCCTGAGTAGCGCTAGAATATACTTTTCTTATATATAATATTGATCTTACCCATGCCATGGCTATAGTGCACTGTACTACAGCATCTGGTTGTCTGGATGAAAAGTCTTCCAGAGCTGCCTGTCGTCCATTGCAGCCGGCAATCTCCTCTTCCTTCTCCAGTCCGGTGTTGCTCGTAAACTGGTCCACATGACCCTCTTCCCTGCCCCTTCTGCAGTTTACATGACCATGCTTTCATGTTAGGAAGGATGTAAATCGATGCTACCCATTTTATGTAGGAAACACTGACTGACCTATAAGGAAAAATACTACTTATACATCTCTCCATTTCCCATCTCGGCAATACATTTTCTCAGTGTTAAAGAATTACTTCCTTCCTTAATCCTCTTGGTTCCTGTGTGGAACATAAGGCTTCGACTAGAGCGCTAATGCTTCCGATCTTCTGTCTTTTTGGAGATGGCATCTCCTCCTCCACGGCTCGTCTCCAGGTTTCCTTAGGGCGGCAGGTAGCTTAGTGGTTAAGAGCGTTGTGCCAGTAACCAAAAGGTCGCTGGTTCTAATCCCCGAACCGACCAGGTGAAAAATATGTCGATGTGCCCTTGAGCAAGGCACTTAACCCTAATTGCTCCTGTAAGTCACTCTGGATAAGAGTGCCTGCTAAAATTCCCATAATTTCCCCCAAAATAAATATTGGCAGTTTCCCGGACACAGATTAAACCTTGCACTAAAAAAAGCAAGCTCAACAGATAATCTCCATGCTTTATAGTCCAGGAGTTGGCTTAATCTGTGTCCAGGAGTTGGCTTAATCTGTGTCCAGGAAACCAGCCCATAAAGATCAACTCAATGTATAGACTACAGAAGTCAGGTTTAAAACACTAAATCATGTTTATTCAGTTCTCTCATCAGCTGATTGGTCATGATGAAGTGCATCAGTGAAAAGGCAGACAGGATGTTACATGCTCGATAATAACCATTCACAAGCATGACTCAACTCCACAAATTTAAAATAAAACCATACTTGCATTTGACCTGAAAAGACAGTGGCGGCAATACACAGGACTGCCCAAGCAGTACATACACGTTCCTTTAAGAAACAGGGAGAGAACGCCAAAACCAAACTGGATTATTCCAATTCAAGTAGTTAGTTTAGAGCCTTTTTTGACTTAGTTCAGGATGATGTGAAAGACCAGGAGAGAATTACAGATCATGTCAACGTCGGGAGAAAGGAGCGATGGATCACATTCCAGAATCCCAATGTAGAAAACTAAAAGCAGAGGGAGGGATGGAGAAGCCATCTTTGTTTTATAATACTCAAGAGTCGGGGCAACTGACAGCAGTAGTAAACTGGCACGGTAGTGGGACATCAGACCAACTTCAGAGTGACGTTCACTGACGAGGTCCCGTGTAGCGACCTCCCTCGCTGGGTCCAGTGCCTCGTCCAGAGCCAAAGCTGGGTTTCTGTGCCATGCCACCCCTGGTGGGGGGGCCCCTGGGCCCTCCTATCCTCTCTCGGGGCCCTCCAGGGCCACCTTGACCCCTGGGGCGGTTGTCACGCCGGTCCCCTTCCCGGGCAGAGCGAGTCTTCTTTTCCTCCACGTTCAGTCGGATGTCTCCTCGGAACTTAATGGGCTACAGATGAAAGAGGACTGTTAGTACATTCATTCATTTAAATTATCATAAACAGATGTAAAAATCACAGAGTGGGCTTTTAAAAGAGGATTGTGTCTGTACATGCATTAAGATAATTTTTGAATAACATTTACTGCTCCCAAATGGATATTTATGGGAATGTGAAGCACCCTTCTACCATCATTGAAATGGAGTCCAAGGCTTTACAAAATGGAGGCGAGTTCATCAAATCAGCATGTTTGTAATTAAAACACTCAGACTTAACATATATGTTGAATATAATTATTACCCGGTTGCTTAGGATTTTCTGTACAGGTTCCGAATCGTCAAACACCACGAATCCAAAGTTGGGAAGCTTTCCTCCGCTGTTGATCCGTAGCTCAAGCACAGTACCATACTCTGTAGGAGGAACCAGTTCGTATTAAAATTACATATAAACTCTTTCAATCAATTACTTCAATCAGTTCCTGCAACGCATGTACCGTATTCTGTTACAGGGATGCAGATCATTTAACATTACAGATCAATGATTCTAATCAATTATTTCAAACCCTTTTACAGGTCATTGGGGGAATATGATCAATTAAGACTAAATCTGGCACTACTAAACCTCAGTCCTGTCAAGAGTTATTGATTACCATGTACTGTCCCTGTTTAATCAATTATTTGCCAGTTGAAACCATACAAAGTAATTAAAATGCTTTTTTGCAGACCATTTTGAAATAGAATAAGTGACATACGTTGGAAAAACTCCTTGAGCTCTGCCTTGTCCACATCATGGGGGACGTTTCCTACAAAGAGCTGGTGAGCGTCTGGATACCTCACAACGCGGCCAACGTCCGACGACTCTCCCGGTTCTCCTTCCCTCACTGCAAACCAAGAGCAGACAGTCATGCTAAGAGCAGATGGATAGAGGCATGAGAGGGTCATGCTAACGCATCCACGTCTGATGTTTCCTCAGTGTATATGACGCCTATTCTTTAAAGAGGGCATTCAGAGTTCAGACTAACAGACAGGTTTACATCCAACGTAGACTGCATACTGTAGCAAAACATTTTATTTTTTACAACGGAAAACTTAAATCTGTGTTCTTATTGGACGAGGTCAGGTAGTACCTCCCAGTTTCACTTCATTTCAAGACGTTTTCTACCTCCTGAACATGACCCAGCTGTCTGGTGGATGGTACTGGGTGTTGGGCGAGATGCTGTCTGGTGGATCGTACCTCCTGGTCTGGGTCCTCTGTTGACTGGTGGGGGGCCTGGCCTTGCTTCCCGTGGTCTCTGGTCTCCTCTCGGTTGTGTTCTCTGTGCTGCAGCTTCTGTTTTCACCTCCACCCTGGGCTAGAGCACAACACACAGAGAAACCAGGCTAGAGCAGCATGACAACACACTCAAAACTCCAGGCTAAATCACCTGTTGATTGTGTTCGTTGCCCTTTTAAGAGGAACGTTGATTAAAAGGCCACCAAATGTAAGTGTTTCTGATACCTAATCATTAATATAGTATGTGTGGTCTTTCAACTGGTAGGATACATGCTAGATATGTAATAAGTGATTTTATCCCCCTTAGTAATCAATATACACTGCTCAAAAAGATAAAGGGAACACTTAAACAACACAATGTAACTCCAAGTCAATCACTCTTCTGTGAAATCAAACTGTCCACTTAGGAAGCAACACTGATTGACAATACATTTCGCATGCTGTTGTGCAAATGGAATAGACAACAGGTGGAAATTATAGGCAATTAGCAAGACACCCCCAATAAAGGACTGGTTTTGCAGGTGGTGACCACAGACCACTTCTCAGTTCCTATGCTTCCTGGCTGATGTTTTGGTCACTTTTGAATGCTGGCGGTGCTTTACCTCTAGTGGTAGCATGAGACGGAGTCTACAACCCACACAAGTGGCTCAGGTAGTGCAGCTCATCCAGGATGGCACATCAATGCGAGCTGTGGCAAGAAGGTTTGCTGTGTCTGTCAGCGTAGTGGCCAGAGCATGGAGGCGCTACCAGGAGACAGGCCAGTACATCAGGAGACGTGGAGGAGGCCGTAGGAGGGCAACAACCCAGCAGCAGGACTTCTACTTTGTGCAAGGAGGAGCACTGCCAGAGCCCTGCAAAATGACCTCCAGCAGGCCACAAATGTGCATGTGTCTGCTCAAACGGTCAGAAACAGACTCCATGAGGGTGGTATGAGGGCCCGACGTCCACAGGTGGGGGTTGTGCTTACTGCCCAACACCGTGCAGGACGTTTGGCATTTGCCAGAGAACACCAAGATTGGCAAATTCGCCACTTGTTTTAAGGACATTACATCAAAGTTGGATCAGCCTGTAGTGTGGTTTTCCACTTTAATTTTGAGGGTGACTCCAAATCCAGAACGCCATGGGTTGATACATTTGATTTCCATTGATAATTTTTGTGTGATTTTGTTGTCAGCACATTCAACTATGTAAAGAAAAAAGTATTTAATAAGATTATTTCATTCATTCAGATCTAGGATGTGTTATTTTAGTGTTCCCTTTATTTTTTTGAGCAGTGTAGTATGAAGTCTTTCAAAAATGGTAGGATACATGCTAGATATGTAACAGGTGATTTTATCCACCTTTAGTAATCAATATAGTATGTGTGGTTGTTTCTTCTACAGGTATTTAATACATAAATGTTGGCTACAGGAGGAGTGTTTTTACATAGAGAAAAGTAACATTGTATGTTTAACGTACCGGTGCCGACGGGACTTTGACTACGTGAGGGGGGACGCCCGAGACAGGCACAGCTCCACTAGGGGGGAGGTTCTTACTGGTGACAGACGCCCAGGAGAAAGGCTGGAGGAGAGACGAAACGGTGACGTTATTAAAACGAACGAGGTTTGGCAGCTGTACAAGGAAAGCCCTAGAAGCTGGGCAAACCTAATGAAGAACCAAGGGCAAAATAAAATAATTTCTCAGCAATAGTAGTTGTTTATCTACAAAATTAGCTATCAAAGCTGATGGCGATACAACCAAAAATGGTTCTTAAACCAAAATGGAATAGCCAGAGATGTAGAAAGGTCACATATTGCGTTGTGACCTCTTGACAGTGGATAACCAGCCAAAACACAGCATCCAGAGAGGAATAGACAGCCAGGTCACACATGGAATCACGACCACCATGTTGACATGACCATAGCCCTACCCGGTTATCTTCAGCGGCAGGTGCAGGGTCAGCAGTGGCGGAGGGCAGGGGTGAGGAGACCGGACACTTCTCTCCCTGCTCCTCTGTGGTGTGTTGTTGCTGCTGGGTCTCTGGCTCCAGGTCCTGTTTTCCATCCACCACGTCTGGCTCCGGCTCCACCTCAGTTTCAGCCTCAGGCTCTGGGATTACAACCACCTCCTCCTCCTCTGGCCTCTTGGCCTCGGTGCTGAAATAGCCCAGACACACACATATCTCATATTAACCCACGAGCATATTCTGGCCATAGAATTCTCATTAAGAAACGAATCATTCTAATTTGAGATTAGGAAAAGGAGAATATCCCTTGCAGCATGCTACCATCCATGTTACTGTAACACATATTCTAGTGAAAAGCATGAGCTGGCACATTCCCAAAACAGTTTTAGGTGCTGACTGTAGGCAAGAAAAACAAAGTTCCACACTAGATAAGTGGCAAGTAATGTATTGGGTAAACCACCAAAGTTTAGGCATCACAGAAAAAGAAAAGCCGATAAATAAAATTGTTAACGGCCAAATTGTCTGGGAGAATAAATAAAATAATGTTGATTATCAAAGTTCCCAGTGTGCCCGCCGAGACGGGATTCTTTCTCCAAAACAGTAAAGACGGCCTCAAGATCGCACCTTCCTGAGGACAAAGTAACAAGGCTGATGGGCATCGCAGGCTGCTTTAAAAGGAGTTGGACAGTTTTGATTTCCCAACACTTTGAGCAGGCCAAGGACCACCGCAAACGCAAGTATATTAGAGGCAAATTGCGTTGGTCAGGTCGGTCCTAGCAGTTCTGCTTCCCTAGGTAAGATCAACATGTCGCACGTTTCATGTATAGTCGTCTATAAAGTTTTGGAATAGATTGATAGACTAGAGTAGAGTAATGATGTGTATAATTTGGTGCATGTCAGTTGAGCGTATTAGGTAGCCAACTGCCTATAGCAGGAAACGGAGTTGTTATCAATAATCCACGTATATCACACACACACGACCACACGAAATTACAAATTATAATAAACATAATTCATTAACACCATCCAGTAGAACTGTAAACATATCAAATTTGATTGGACAACATCGGTTTTATAATTTCTTCATTTTGTGGCTGCCTAGTGTTCCCTTTCATTTGCTGTGGTGCAGAATCGCGGCCCGGTCACGGCTAGAAGGGATCCAGTTTTTGTCAAATGAACGTCAAAAAGTTGCATTTTCGCTAACCCTAACCCTTTTCCTAACATTACCCTAATTCTCTAAACCTGCTGCGTAAGTTCTCCTAACCTGATACGAAAAGTCAAATCTGATGTTAATTTGACAATAGCTGGATCCCTTCTAGCCATGACCGGCCGGCCTTGGTGTTTGTAGACAGACATGTTTTGTTATTTAAAAATGTTAATGCCAAGGCTAAATCAAATGAGAAAGGCCTAGATTGTACTTGAAAACAGCTCTGTTGTGTTATTTATTAATAAAAAATGTTCATACAAATGGCCTACAGGACAGGTTAGCAACTTATATTTGGAGTTGTCTTTTAGTACTGTGTAGGTGACTTGTTCTTCAAGGCTAAATGTTTTTATTTTATTATATTCATTTAGGATATATAGCAGGGATGAAGACTCAACAATGTTTTGCTTTTTAATAAAACCTGTCATGTTGGTTTAAGAGCATCGTTCTACTGTTTACATTCTGTTAAGATTAATGACAATAATCTAAATATGTGATTTTGAGCACCCTGGGTGGACGCCTCTCGCACTCCCTCTCTCATGAAGGGCATGTTTGCCACCATTCATGCTATAGTAATACATAATCAACATCGAGGATGAAGTGGAATAGGATTGCTGATGTAGCACTGTCAAAGCTGTACAAACATTTTTAATGAGAAAGTCAAGACTATGATGCTAAACTAAGAGAAGATGGATGCGTTTCCTTACCAGGGTGTCTGTTCGTAGAAGGCTGCAGCCTCTTCCTGGACCACCTCCGGTGAGGGTACTCTCTCCTCCATCTCCTCATCAGACTCTGAAACACCAAGAACATGAGTGAGTCCCAATTACAGCAGTTTCAGGGCTGAATCCAATACCTGTTAGATTTTAGTCATTTAGCAGATTTACATTTACGTCATTTAGCAGACGCTCTTATCCATAGCGACTTACAGGAGCAATTAGGGTTAAGTGCCTTGCTCAAGGGCACAGACAGATTTTTCACCTAGTCGGCAGGGGGATTAGAACCAGCGACCTTTCGGTTACTGGCACAACGCTCTTAACCACTAAGCTACCTGCCGCCTCATGGTGCCACCAGATGCTTCTATACCCCTAAACAGTGAAGACATATTATTAATAATAGTGTTGACCCATATGCAAGGTACTGTATGAGTAAAAAGCACTGCAATGGAGTTCAATAAGAGCAACACCTCTAGCCATTATGTATTAGTCATGAGAAGTAAATTACATATGAAAGAAAACCAGCTAACCGTAAAGCAGCTTTCTAATCTGTAACATGCTCACCTTCAGGGGGTTCTGAGTCAGAATCCCCAAACACTTCGTCTTGGTAACGGAATACATCGTTGTGAACGTAGAACTTGTTTGCTACAGTGCCCTGAAACACCAATGTCATTGAGTTCAACACAATTAACCCTTTAGCTGAACTGGACACTAATACATAAATGAAAAAAAGTTTCAAGGACAAATTTCCAATGTCCATCTATACAGTTGAAGGACCTACCTCAGGGGCCAGCACGAATGTCTGCATGAATTTGCGCATGGGCTGCATGTCGTTGGACAGCTCCCCCATCACTTGCACCACAACGCCCTCCTTCAAGGTCGCATGGGCATCCACATGTCTGATCTTGGTGTGGCAGTCACGGAAGTTCAGCGCCAACACTTTTTTATGGATCTCCTTTATACATAATTAAAGACCTTGATGAAAATCTCAAACTTAAAAATGTGTTAGCCTTGTTTCACAAAGCCTAACTGAAAATATATTACCCATCTTTAATAAGAACACACTGATAGAGGTATGCCATACAATCATGTGGCTGTGTCGCATTGGATATTTTACAAAGTAAACGTATAATACTGCTTCACTAAGGTTTCATGAACTATTGCAAATATAATTTAGGGAAATTGTATTGCAGTACTCACCGACTGTCCGTAGACTGATTCAACTGGTTTACCATTGTTGTCCAGACCTCCATGTACATAGGAGGAATTTTTCCCATAAAACCTCAAAACATAAACAAGTTTAAAATCAGTTACTTCTTCTCTTAGTAGTAGAGGCATAGATCGCCCACTAATATTTGAAAGCAGATCATCATGGAATAGATACTGTTTGGGAAGAATGTTCTAGTAGTGTACTGGCTTTACCTGTGCAGGTAGTCGGGTGCTTGGTTGAGTAGTGTGTAATACTGTCGGACAAACTCCCGCCCGACGAGCTGGGCACTTGGCTTCTCCATCACCATTTCTTTGGTCAGCTGGAGAGAACTGCAACAGGGACAAGAAGGTGTGGTTGTCATGGTGTGGATCATTGACTGGATGTGGATACTGGAGTCTGATCTGCACCTGTTCTGGTCACCATCCGTTTCTGTTCTGTCTGACAAACCCGGCAAGCCATATCTCCCAGCTATTTATTTTGCAAATCATGGCGACAAGTACCATTAGCGCTAACGTTACAGGAGGCTGTGCAACATCAGAAATAATTTGGATTCCAGCTAGTCTGTGGATAACTAGCTAGCTAGAAATCTAGTCAATTCAACCAATAATAGGTTTCAGTTCATAGTATGAAATTCATTGTGTATAGAACTCTTTTTGGGTCTTTGAGTGTCAAAAAAGATACACGTCAAATAACACTATTTGACCCGTCAAATAAGTTTGTTGACCAATCAGGACCTGAATATGACCGCACGTCACATAACAATTTAACACCTTTATTAAATTTTTACGTAGTTATTACACATTGGATTACACCATCACTCGTAGGTCATATGTTGCAACGATTCATCGATACGTATGCTATGATGCTGGTAAAGTTGTCTCTCGCACCTGCCCTCCCCCAAGCTCTGGACAGTGCTGGTCATTTAAAAAAAGCTAGCTAACGCTAGCTGATGGATGCAAACAATGTTCTCTGCCAAAACGACAATCTGTTTTAGTAGATATAGTTAGCTAGCCAACTATCTTGCTAGGTGTCATCATCTAAACTACCCCTAATTTATAAAACTGTTCTTATTTGATTAATGGTGGTCGGACCCACCTATGTGAAGCTAGCCACAATAAGGATAAGCCACAATAGTGGAATTTGCGGATAGCCTTCGAAATAAAATAATGTCATTGACAGTGATGCAAACGAATACAAATAATGGATTTATGCCATGGATCATGCTAAACGATGTTGGAATGTTATATAAATTCAACAAAATAATTAGTTAATTTGACAAATCCGTTGAAATCACACTGGATGTATTAGACTTCAGAATTGCATTGGGGGCATACTTATTTTACTGTACAGCCGTACTTATGGATCATTGACATGGAGTATCAGTCTATTCCGTGAAACCCAGAGAACATTAGCGTCGTAACTCTTATTGCGGGACTCTGAAACCACTGTGAATTGAGCCACATTTGTTGTACCAGTCAACCTCCTATGTGTATTGAACCCTATTCCAGAGGAAAAACAATACAACCTGGAATTTTGAGAGTCTGATGACTGAGGAGGACGTTGGGAAAAAAAAGCACTTGGGTACTGAGTAGACTGATAACCAAACTTCATTGATCGCCAATCCTTAGGTAAGGCTGTACAGTGCAATATGAATCTCAATACGCACAATAGGCTGACTGGGAGGTGATTTCACAGTCCCGCGATAAGAGCTACAACGCTAATATGTGTAAACTCTTTACAGTTGTGTTCTGTGGGTGTCACCGAGTAGACTGATACCCCATTTCATTGTTCCACATTCCAACCTTGTTTAACATTATCTAGTCTCAATATTGCATGATTCCACCAATTGTAACCTTCTGCGTCACTTTCAAAGAGGAACTTTTATTTTGAAGGCGAACCGCAAACGCCACTATTGTGGCTAATCCTTATTGTGGCTAAATTCACAACACATAACCCGGTCCGGTCAAGAATCACCACAGATTAAGTTTACTGGCTGTTAATAACGTTAATTTGGGCAACAGGGTTAATTGCTGGCTAGATAGTTATTTTCATGAACTGAAGTTCAATTTCAAGTGGTTACCTAGCTAATACTTACTCACATGGATTCCTAAATCATTGCTAAGAATATTGAAAATGACTGCAGTTTATATTGGTCATTGTGTTCTCAGGCTAGTTGCATTGGTGCTAGCGAGGTAACGTTACCAAGCTAAATCTAGCTAGTTACCCACCCCAGAAGTTGCTAATAAAATCAGTATCAAATATATTTTCAAACATTTATGATCCTGCTCGTTTGATCCTGTGGTATTGTAAACACATCGTTCTGTTGCCGGTGTGTGCTTGTTGCAGACTTTTTTGGTGGCGCTTGGCTTGCACGTCCAAATTCAGCACACACAACATTCTACAATAGGATTGTATTATTTGACGTGTCAAATTAAAAAAAGTTTAATTTGTTGAAATAGTGTTATATGACGTGTATCTTTTTTTTCCACACGCAAAGACCCAAACGGCGTTCCATATTTGTGGGAGACAAATGGGTCGCCCAGACACACCCAGCTAAACTGGTTAGCTAACGTTAGTTAGCTTCTGAGCTGTGCTTCTATGGTCTTTGCCTGGAAAGGCCGAGTTGCAACACCGGTCACGCCATGGATAGAATACAAAAAAAAAAGTACCGAAATGTGACGATTTTGGCCTGCAAAAAGGCATGCCAGTTATGTAGCTGGCCAGACAATATCCTATTACCTAATCAACTCTGCTAGTTGGAACTAGTTAGCTAAATACGATAAAAAAAATAAAAAAAAAGTATAACCAACACGTGCGGCAAATACAATGCTGGCTAACTAGCTAATTTCCTAGGTTAGCCATGGCTATTTTCCGCTCAGAGTTTATTTGGCGAGCTAACGCGTTACCTACTGTAGCACACTAAACAGCAGTCAACTGTTAGTCTTCGACATCAAACTGATATTATCGTAAACATTTAAACCAAGAGGCGTTGGTAAGACAGACAAACATCGCTAACTGGGCAACCATGGCTCGCTAGCCATTCCAGCTAGTTAGCTAAAGCCATTCTTTCAACCACCACATCTGATTAGCTGACAATTTCCACAGTCCACTCGGGCATTGACTGACTGGTTTAACCCACGGCATCCAATTCAATAGCATTCGTGGCACATCAAACATTGAATAAATTAAGGCAAGAATGTCCTAACTAGCTAGGTGACGTTAACTGGCTAGCTAGCACAACTCCAAGAAGGACTTTAGCTTTATCATGCGAACTTGCGTTAGCATCAAACAACACCGTAAGATTACGAATATTACAGCAGCGGATATTTATTCAATAACTCCAAACAGGGTATTGTACTTACCAGGAGGCAATTGTTAAAACTGTTTATTTAAAAAAAAAATGTGATTTCACTGAATCACCTCCGCTCTACCAGGCGGTAGCTAGACAGATTGTTCTAACAGGGCAGCGCACAACGTGTTCCGTTTCACCGGTCTGAAATGTGGGACATGGACAACCTACCATGAATTTACACTCTAGATGCATGAACCAATGAATTTACGGTGAGAGGAAATATGTCACCAATCAAATGTATGTACTCTGAGATGTTTAGTGTACAACCAATCGTTGTGGAGTATGTGTAGACCTGTCATTCTAAATGTAGCCAATAGAAAGACGAGTGTGGTGGATTCCCGATCATGGCTATGGTTGGTTAACATCTTTACAGAGCGGCACACGCTGGATCATGCCCCGGTCGAAATTGATGGGGGTGTTTTTCTCTGCACTTGGTTTAGCTCTCCCAGCACACATTTTTTATTTATTTATTGGGTGATGTGGATTTAAGATATTGTTTGAAGAGGTATGGTTTCAGATGTTTTCGGAGGATGGGCAGGGAGCATGAACCTGCAGGAGCGAGTTTGATGTTTGCAGAGAACAACAGGGCTAGTTGCATCGGTGCTAGCTAGAGTCAAAAGATTGTACAAAGAATTGCAAACATGTATGATCCTGCTCGTTTGATCCTGACCTTATTTGAAATGCGCACACAGACGTTTTCCCATTCGGTCGATCAAATAATGCCTTATTACCAACGTGGTATTGTAAACACATCGTTCTGTGGCCGGTGTGTGCTTTGTTGCAGACTTATTTGTTCGCAAGCTTTGACACGGTGAAAAATCTACTGCCTTATTACCCTAGTAAGCCCTCTGTGGCGTGTGTGCTTGTTGCAGACTTTTTGTTCAGCTTTGACAGTGCTACTGATCCTAGTGGTGGCGCTTGGCTTGCACGTCCAAATTCAGCACACACAACATTCTATAATAAGATTGGATTATTTGACGTGTCAAATTAAAAGCGAGCTAACGTGTTACCTAATGTAGCAGACTAAACAGCAGTCTACTGTTAATCTTCGACATCAAACTGATATTATCGTAAACATTTAAACCAAGAGGCGTTGGTAAGACAAACAAACATTGCTAACTGGGCAACCATGGCTCGCTAGCCATTCCAGCTAGTTAGCTAAAGCCATTCTTTCAACCACCCCATCGGATTAGTTGACAATTTCCACAGTCCACTCGGGCATTGACTGACTGGTTTAACCCACGGCATCCAATTCACTCTGGGAGTGGGACATCGTGGCGTTGTCGATCGTGATGGAAACGTCTTGGAGTGGGCAGGCCTTTCCCAGGAGAAAGAGCAGCTCCGTTTTGTTGAGGTTGAGCTTGAGGTGGTGGGCTGACATCCAAGCTGAGATATCTGCCAGGCATGCAGAGATGTGTGTTGCCACCTGGGCATAGCCGTGGGAAGTAGGGGTGCAGACGGTGGTGCAGCACCCCCTGAAAAATCAGATGATATATATTTTTAGCATAAACATTTTTGAAAAAATTACAAAATAGATATATTTATGCACAAAAGTAGTGCACTGGGCCTTTAATGGTCCTAAATTAGTAGACCTAAATGGCAGTCTGCAGCGCCAGCACCGGAAAGAAAAGATTTGTACAAGATTTGGGAAGGAGAAAAGTAGTTGAGTGTCATCCGCATAGCAATGATAGGAGAGACCAGGTAAGGATATGACGGAGCCTATAGGTGTATAGAGAGAAGAGGAGAGGGCCTAGAAACTAGCCCTTGGGGACACCAGTAGTGAGAGAACGTGGTGCAGACACAGATCCTCTCTACATCACCTGGTAGGAGAGACCTGCCAGGTAGGATGCAATCCAAGTGTGTAGAGCCTGGGACGCCCAGAACTGACAGGGTAGAGAGGAGGAACTGATGGATCACGTTGTCGAAGGAAGCGGCTAGATCAAGGAGGATGAGAACCGAGGAGATAAGTCAGCTTTGGCAGTGCAGAGAGCCCTCTGTGACCCAGAGAAGAGCAGTCTCTTCAATATTCACATCAATATATGAAAAGCAAAACACAATCATAGAAAACAAACACATTCTAAAGGAAAAAGGTCCTCAATCAGCCTTTTGAATTGCGCTAGAGGCACCAAGTCATCCAATTTTAGAGAGCCTTGGAGATTATTCTACAAGTAGGTGCAAAAAAACGATCTCATACGTCTGTAACAATGAAGTAAGGTACAGTGGAAGTTTATGCAGGAGGGCTTTATAAACAAAAAGAGTGCAATGGATCGATCTACGAGACTTCAAAGAGGGCCAGCCTACTTTCTGATAAGGAATGCAGTGATGTGTCCTGAACCCCATCCAGTCATTGACTGAACCCATCACCCGTAATGAAGCGTAGTGCGCTAAGATAAACTGCGTCCAATGGCTTCAACACAGTGGCAGCTTCACCTGGTGGGCAGCGTTCTCTTTCAGCGCCAATGGAATGAACCCAAAACTGAAACTTTTGTGCCCAACAGGTGCGACAGGTGAGTTAAATCAAGCGTACCTATAAATTCTAGAGAAGTTATGCATTCATCCACTGGGAGGCGACACAAATCCACCCAGACCTCTTCATGTCACATGGCGTCTGGACTGAGCTGTAGCCAGTTGGGGTTATTCTCAATCCCTAATTGCATGATTATGAATTTGTGTTCATCTGATGGTTGACCAGTCATATGGAACCTTAGTTTATGACAACTTCCTCCCTCCATTCCTTTAACTGTCATGATCTAATTCTTGAAGATATTACATTTTGCAAAAACTTAATGGGTTGGGTTCAAAACGTAGAATTTTTCAATTTAAATTCTTATACAAAATTCTTGTTATATATATTGGGGATACAACCTTCCCAGCTCTGCAGATTTTGCTGCGAAGATACAGAATCATTGGATCATTTATTTTGGTACTGTCCCTATGTAGCTTGTTTTTGGTCACAGGTCCAGGAATGGCTGAAGAATTGCAATATTTACCTGGAGCTAACTCTGCAGACAGCACTACTGGGGGATTTGAAAAGTTATAGTTAATCGATCAATAATATAATAATACTTTTAGCAAAAAAAGATATACTTAATTTACAATCTGTAGAAACTATGAGAATAGAAAGGTTCAGAACTTTTGTGAAACTTCACAGTACAGTTGAAAAATATATGGCAAATAGAAATCCAATATGGATGGTGTTAAGAGATAGATGGGAGGGGTTGAGTGGAGCTGACGGGTGGGACTAATAACAACAAGATAACTCATGTAAAATATACTGTGTCCATGAAATGTATATAGGTTCAGAACTTTTGTGAAACAGCACAGTTAAAAAATATATATGGCAAATAAAAATCAAACTGGATGGACATCAGAAATAGATGGGAGAGGTTGAGGGTAGAGGAAGGACTGAAAACAAATAAAATATAACTACTGTAAAATAGATTGTGTTCGTAAAATGTATATAGTATGTATAAGATGGAAGTAGAAGCCTAAGTGTTGTTGTTCATTAGTTTACTCCAATTAGGAGAGGGGTGGTAGGGTTAGGGGAAAATAATAAAGGAAAATATAGATTTTAGCTTGTGAGGTGTGGAAACACTGTTGCTTTGATGTATTTTGTTTTGTTGCTTTTTGTGCTATTGCTCTGTCTGCGTGCTACGTGTTGCTTGTTCTGTGTTGCTCTGTCTGCGTGCTACGTGTTGCTTGTTCTGTGTTGCTCTGTCTGCGTGCTACGTGTTGCTTGTTCTGTGTTGCTCTGTCTGCGTGCTACGTGTTGCTTGTTCTGTGTTGCTCTGCCTGCGTGCTACGTGTTGCTTGTTCTGTGTTGCTCTGCCTGCGTGCTACGTGTTGCTTGTTCTGTGTTGCTCTGTCTGCGTGCTACGTGTTGCTTGTTCTGTGTTGCTCTGCCTGCGTGCTACGTGTTGCTTGTTCTGTGTTGCTCTGTCTGCGTGCTACGTGTTGCTTGTTCTGTGTTGCTCACTGCTCATTGTTTGTCTGTATTGTAATAGTTTTTAATAACCTGCCCAGGGACTGTGGTTGAAAATTAGCCGGCTAGCTAAAACCGGCACTTTTACTGAAACATTGATTAATGTGCGCTGTCCCTGTAAAAATAAACTCAACTCAAATATATATACTACCGGTCAAAAGTTTTAGAACACCTACTCATTCAAGGGTTTTTCTTATTTTTTAAAACTATTTTCTACATTTTAGAATAATAGTGAAGACATCAAAACTCTGAAATAACACATGGAATCATGTAGTAACCAAATTGAGATGGTTTGGGATGAGTCAGATCGCAGGGTGAAGGAAAAGCAGCCAACAAGTGCTCAGCATATATGGGAACTCCTTCAAGACTGTTGGAAAAGCATTCCAGGTGAAGCTGGTTGAGAGAATGCCAAGCGTGTGCAAAGCTGTCATCAAGGCAAAGGGAGGCTATTTGAAGAATCTTGATTGTGTAACACTTTTTTGGTCACTACATGATTCCATATGTGTTATTCCCCCCCCCCCCCCAAAAAAAAATTATACAAACAAACAAATAATAATAAAAACAATAAAAACAACTTTAGTGGTTGGGTTATTAGTGGTTGGGTTATTAGTGGTTGGGTTATTGGTGCATCCTGTGAATGATCAGTATCTCACTAGAACGATGCAATTGATCTCTGGTCGATTCAACATTGAACATCATGATAAAGGTGAACACATTTTCTTCTAGTAAGATAAATCAAGAATATGCCAAAGCATTTATTTAATTCACATTGTTTATCCCCCCCAAAAAACTGTGGGAATTGTTATCAATAATATAATCGTTTTCAACTCTTATTTCCACCGTTTGTCTTGGAGAGAAGGGAGGACATTTTCCCCTTGTGGAAGAAGGGGCGGTGCCTCTGGCTGAGCCTTTGTGGACGAGGCTCGACAGTTGTTCAGAGTCCCTGCCCTTCTGTACTGTCTGGCTGAACGGGTGGAGATGGTAACAGGGTGCTCTAGTAATGCCCTATAGGCTTCTCCATTCCTCTGACTCTCATGGGACCTTTCTTAGATTCTACAGAGAGGAAACTCTGAGCTTGTTCTAGTTTTTGACCAAATATGGAAATATGGTAATTTGATCTTCTTTCTTTATTTTTATTTTTTAGAGGATACATTAAATTAATGTCTCTGAAATTTAGAGACGATTATACAAAACGAAACTAGCCTTGTCCTGGCAAATCTATTCTTCTGGGTTCATTGGGACAGGGTGTCCAGTTGGTTTTTACAAAGACAATGAAATTCAATGGTACAGTATTTTTCTCATAAGTCATTGCATGTGTGCCACAGAAGCACACAGGACTTTTTAACCTCATGGGGTTATTGGTCTCATAAAGAAGTTATTATATATGGTGGCTTCAAGCATATGCAAAGTGCTGGTTTGAACTTTTAAAATAGACTCTTAAATATAGGGTTAGAAAACTTTTGCATTCTGGTATACCAATGTTTTGACAAAACATACTGGATTCAAGGGTCAGGACTACACTCTGGGATTCTGAAATGAGATGATGAGTCATCACAGGATGTTGAGATGTGTACTGAGCCTGTACTCATAAGACTAAGGCGTAGCCTACCATGCAGTACGGAACACCTTGTACTGCAACTGTACGTGGCATTTATTTTAGGGCAAGGTGATTTCTTAAAAATGTCATTTAATTGATACTTCATGATGATGTACTTCATATCTGTAATATGGACGCTTTAGAGGTATTTTATCAAAACTACCGTGTAAAGACAACTAATTTAATGTCCCATGAAATGTTCTAGTCAGTGTTAGATGTTTTCCATTTGTTCCAGTTGAAATGTATCAACATTGTGAGGATTCTGAAGAAATGCAGATATGAACGCATGCAACAGTGTTGGACATTTCAATAACTTTTATTTGAGGAAAGACTTCTATTGTGCTCACATGGTGTCACAAACGCTCAACCTGCGAGATGCTTTCCTCGTAGAGTTTAAACAATATTTCCTTTTTTTTGTCTCAATAATTTTTCAGTACACTTATGCCCTTGTTGTGTGACAGAATCTATGTAAGGAAAACAAACCTGTGGATAGTCAGGCCTTAATTTAAAACAGTAGTCAAAAGTCAATGAACTAGCAAACAAAACAACAGAGATGACAAAATGAGTGAGTCCACCACCAAAGACTGCAAAACAACTAAATATGTTTAAAAAGCAAAAGGAGCATTTATTTAGAAACTTTATTTTTGATTTTACAAATTTGTCTCCTTCAAATAATTTTCAAATTGATGTTATAAATCCAAGCACTGATAAAGTGAGAAAAAAAAATTGAAATGTGATAAACAACCATTATCACAAACCATTCAACATACAGAGTCCAGTCATACATTTACATCTCCCTCCCGTCACAAGTCTCTTTCTGTTACTTCTTCTAATCTATCTGGTTAAAAATGATTATTTATTTGCACAAACAAGACACATTTGAAGTTGCATCATGACCACGTTTCGTGATTGTTAGTTCAGACTGTGCACGTCTCTTTTTCATCAATTGCAGTGGTATAGGTAGGTCGTTAATTAGTTGCAGTTAGCACCGTTACTGTGTTTCTTTAATTTAGGGATCAGCTTAGCACCTCGTCCCAAAAGACTAGTTGTCATAGGTCAGCTGATGAGTTTAGATGACAAGGTCCTTGTCGACATCCTCTGAAAACAGAACAACAAGCCCCCGCATTAACAAGCAGTAATGAAATGGCCTGCTCTGAACCATTTTAGTAAAATAGACCGTAGAATAGAAGGAAGACATGGCTTGCGTCTGAAATGGAACCCTATGCCCTATATAGCCTATAGGGCTCTAGTAAAAAGTAGTGCACTATGTAGGGAATAGGGTGCCATTTCAGACACAAACAATAAAGGCATTGTAACAGAGTGCCTTGGTCCTCCTAGTTTCTTTTGAGGCAGTAAAATAATGAGTGTAAACTGTGAATGAGGTTTTAAAACTACTCACGCTCCTTGATGCTAAAGCAGTTGGCCCACTCCTCCAGGGCGATGTACTTGTCATTGTCGGCGTCGCACTGCTCGAAGAAGCGAGTGGTGCAGTGCTCCATGGGGATGAGAGGAGCGCGCAGGGGGGCCAGCTCTGTGTGGGACAGGAACCTACAACGCCACAGAACGAACACCTGTTATGAAGCATCTATGTAGGCCTTATAAAGGATTTATAAAGGCTTTGTAAGCGGTAGTTTTAGACCCCAGAAAACACCATAGAGAAACATGTTACCCATATGATCCTTTGGCATTTAAAAGTCAGTATTGTGAAGTATGAACAGCCCCAATGTAGCACTGTCAGTCGCTTTTTTGCTCATAAAACAATATATTCAGGCATGCTGCTAATATCCTTTCTGAGACATTTTAGAAATGTTTCAGTGTTGATGTCCTGGCTGGCACAGAGTTGAGTCAAAGGCCCAAGCAAGCCTGTATTTGTGTGATGTTGAAACAATCCAGCTGAAGCAGAAGACAAACTCTTCTTCTCCTCTACCTACCCATCGACGGGGTGCTGGTCTAGCTGACCGAACTGCCAGTGGACGGGGAAGATGTACATGTTGTAGTTCTTCTCAAAGTCGTGGGCCAGCAGGTCCAGGGAGTGCTCTCCAGCCTGCAGTCTCTTCTCATTCTCATAGATCTTCCTCACCTGCAAGGCAAGCAACATTTCTGCAAACATTAGTTTGTCTAATACTCATTTGAATAGAACAAACGGATAAATAATTCCCAGTGGGATTCGATGCACAAAAGGAGTCGACATCATAGTGAGAGCAGAACATCAAATCCTATAATCATATTTGGTTTATTCATTATTTTGACCCATCTGCAGAGTTTCGGTAAATGAACGCAAGCAAAATGAATCGGTTCTGTGCTGTGTTTTAATAATGATTTTGACCCATCCTCAGTAGGCAAACAGTAAATGGGTTCTGTGCTGTGTTTTTATAGAAATGGCAAAGTGGACTTACTCTGAGCTTCTGCTTCTCAGTCAGGAGGTTGTTCTCCTCATCGCGCTCGTACAGGGTGACTAGAACGTTCTTCAGCCAGTCCCTCATACGCAGGGGGAACTCATTCAGCTCAGCATCCATGCAGGGCTCGATGACTGGAGAGACACACAGGAAGAAACATTAGGTATGGTCAGAGAGAAAAGGAAACGGGGAAGACCCAGGAACAGCTGGAGAAGGTTTGTTCAATGACCTATGGTCCCCAAGGAGCCAAAGGGTTTCATTTTAATTAAGTCAAGTAAGTCATGGTCAGAAAGTTGTTTTGCAAGTAGGACATTCAAGTCAAAATCTCCAATCCTGATCTCAAACGGTCTTTTGTCATAGAACATAAAACCCACAACTCACACAACATTTGACATTTCTGTCCATTGAAATGTATGGTTGATGCACACATCCATTAAGGCAATTATTTTTTACCTTTTGTTTTATTCCTTGGTTGAATACTGTACCTGACATTTAGAGGCCACTAGTTTAAAAAAGTGTTATTTTAAGTTTTTGGATCCACGACATGCAACAACATGATCTCCATCTGTGCCCTTCAGTCCTAAGGTACTCATCACCAGCAGAGAGAGATGCATGGGCTTGGTTCTGTTATTTAATGAGAGACATTTAGCTGCAGATTCAGCAGTAAATTGAGAAGGGCAGAAATGCAGAGAGCATGTTACAGCCTGCCCTCCACTCTATGTGCTGGGGTCCTTAAGGCGAGGTCCCTCTAGTTCAGCCCATTCATCATTCTCTGTGGAGAAGCTTTCAGCTCCAAGACAGCATAACCAATCACACTGGGAACGGACTCTCAGAGGAAAATATGTCTTAAGGGGTATTCTCAAAAAGGTGAAAATTATTGCACTGAATTAAATGGTTTGATTAAAACGTTCTCAATGGCCCCTGGGAGGGTTAATACATTGAATTGAAATTAATTAAATAAACATTCACTCCATGAATGTTTGTAACTATAAAGCATAGCTCACATTTGCATGGCCCGATGTAGTCTAGGTGCAGCTTGTGGCCCTTCTTGGTCCCCTCCAGACTGCACTTCTGGGCAAAGAAGTGGCAGGAAGAGTCGTAGGTTGTGTTGTCGGTGGCGCAAACCTGGGATACACAGATTACATTCATGAATCAGATATAGTCAGAATTTATATCAAGAATGAGCCAATGATGCATATCAGTAGTATCATTATTGTACAGGTCAAGGTTCTATTAGGAACAGCGTTATATATGAGACATATCTAGACCTACTGGATGTCGGTCTGAACAGAGTAGAATATGATTTCTATGATGATAACTCACATGCTCAAACTCTCCAAGGGCAGCGGGGCAGGAAGTGGGGTCCTGGCAGACACACATGGGGGTGTTCTCCTCATCCACCTCACACACCTTTCCCTTCTTGCAGTGGTGGTTCAAGCAGGGATCTACGAAGGAAAGTGTTCAAACATTCTGGAACATTACAAATGGAACATATCGGAAGTGTTCTTTTGCCCTTGAATTTCCTGCTCAGATATTCAACAGATAGATATTCCTGGCGGTAGTTGTGCAGAGGAGGAGTGTGGCGGCACCCCTGCCAATTAGGAGAAGGGTTTATTTTCCGTTTCCAAGAAGCTTGGGTGGAACCATTGGGTGGAACACATGATGATAGGTCTCTCTTTTGAGACAGAAGCACTCTGTCATTACCAAGG